GAAAAATGCCAAATCTCAGCCGAAACCGTACAGGCCACGTACGAAGAACGTTTCGGTGGCAAGTCCCAAGAAGTCGACTTGTCGACGTATCCAAAGCCAGAGCCTGTTAACAATGAGAGGCTGGTAAATCCGATCAGTGTAGAAGAGGTTAGGAGTGCCTTCGCAAGAGCGAATAAAGGTACGTCGGCTGGCCCCGACTGCATTGACCTCAAATTTGTTATAAAGGTCAATCCTAGTGGAGAATTTTTAGCCAACATATTCAATACTTGGCTATGTGCAGGAAAGGTTCCTGACGCAATCAAGGAGAATAGATCAATACTACTGCCTAAGGGATCCGAAGGCCTAGACTGTATTAATAACTGGAGGCCATTAACGATCTCTTCAGTACTTCTTAGACTATATACCAGCATATTGGCGAAGAGAGTACTGGGTGCGTTCAAAATGAACGAAAGGCAGAGAGGTTTTATCGAAGCTCCTGGTTGTGCCGAGAATTCTTATTTGCTCAAGAAAGTAATTGAAGATGCTAAAAAGCACAGAAAGGAGCTATGTGTAACGTTCTTGGACCTAGCCAAGGCGTTTGACACGGTGTCTCACAAGCATCTAGTTGCTGGGCTAGAACGCTTCGAGGTCGATAGTCATTTCATAGCAATCGTCTGTGACCTCTACAAAGACGTTTCAACCATCTTTCAATTAGAGAAAGAAGAAACGGGCAAGATACCTATGACAAGAGGAGTTAAGCAAGGTGATCCGCTTTCTCCACTCCTGTTCAACATAGCAATGGACCCATTACTATGTAAAATCAGTGAACAGGAAAACGGCTACAAATTTGGGCCCGAGCGTAGCGATAAGATTGAAGCCCTCGCTTACGCAGATGACAACGCTCTCACTACTGGCACACCACGAGCGATGACCAAGAACTGCAACCTGGTACAAACGTTCTGCCAAGATACCGGTATGCGGCTTAATGTGAAGAAGTCGGCAGCGATTTACTTCAAACCGGCATGTAAAAATACCTATGTGGTAAATAACTTTCCCAAACCACCTACCATAGGGGGGGAAGATATTCCACTAGTTGGTCCAGAAGAGGTAACAAAATACCTCGGTAGTAGAATCAATCCCTGGACTACGATAGATCGAAAAGATCTTGAGTCGGGGTGCATGGATATGCTGAAGAAGATAGGAAAGTCACGGCTTAAACCGAGGCAGAAATTAGTTGTTCTAAAACAATATGCACTGCCAAGGTTAACGTTTCCCTTATCGATGGATCACTATCCAAAGGGAATTTTGAAAAGTTTGGATAACATGATTAAAAGACATGTTAAGGAATGGCTTAAACTACCACTCTCTGCGCCTAACGCTCTTCTTTATTCGAAGCAAGCGGCGGGAGGCATTGGCCTCCCGCAATTTGAACGAAGTGTCCCGTCCATGAGAATCAATACGCTGCGATCAGTGTGCCACTCGAGCGACAGAAAAATCCAGCGTATGGCTGAGGTCCTGGGTACCAGCCAAGAGATTCAAGAAATAGGGGAACAGGCTGGTATTAAGATACCAACCACAAAGAAAGGCAAGGCAAAATGGCACAAGTTAGTTGAATCTGATTGGACAAAATTATCATGTGCTGGAAAGGGTAGAGGGTCACTCCGCCAATCTCGATCAAATTCCTGGCTGAGCAGTAAGTTGCACTTCTGCGAAGCAGACTTCTTGACAGGGTTACAATTACGTGGCGACACAGTACCATGTAAGGTGACCTTAGCTCGGGCAAGTAATACTCCAGATGTATTATGCCGACGATGTGGGCTTCAATCGGAAACGGTTGGCCACATATCCGGAGTGTGTCATAAAGTCAAAAACTACCGGATCAAAAGACACAATGTCTTGGTAAATGCACTGTCGGAAAAAGCCAAAGGTGCTGGCTGGATGGTTTTGACCGAGCCAAGGTTCAAGGTCGAAGGCAGAACTTATGTGCCAGACATGGTTCTGCAAAAGGACAATCGAGCATTAATACTGGACCCTACAGTAGTGTATGAAAATGGTGACTCACTGGCACAAGCCAACAACCAAAAAGTCACAAAATATAGCATACTGAGGGACACAATCCAGAAAATGCTGTCTGTGGACACTGTAGACATCAAAGGGTTCGCCATTGGTGCTAGGGGTGGATGGAGCAAGAGCAACTCCAAAACACTGAAAGGGCTCGGAATTCACGATAAAGGATTCGAAGAGCAACTTTGCCGTTTGGCACTTAAAGGAACCATCAACCTTATACGGTTGTTCATGGACGGATAGTCCTATTCTGGCATTACCTGACTAAAGACTAGGTTAACACCATGAAACGAGCACTAGAAGCAGGCACGCCGGGCTACTCCATTCTTGTTTCAGGAACAAAAGGTGTAACCATGTCCATCATGTGAGGACTCTATAAAGGGAGGAGTCGAGCGTCAGACCCTCCGGTTGCGAAGAGACAAGTTGCCAAGGTACGGCCTTGATCTCTAGGCAGACAAAGCTAACTAAGCGCCGCGGAAAGGATGGCTCACCCTTGAAGCTAACGACGTTGAGGTAGAAAAGAGGCGTCGATCGCTTGGAAGGCTGAATCTGTCTGGCTGCCCACAAGCCATAGTCTCGAATAAGACTAGGTATGCAAGAAAATCAGATATACTCTGCTATCTGACAAAAGCAGCCAAGTCGACAATGATAGACGCTTTAGGGACAGAAGGGGGTGTGGCATCTCGTTAGCTTCGTTAACTTGGCCCATCACCTGTCACGTGGACATAAGCACGAAAAGGAATAGCCTAGCGGCAATTCTGTATCAATAGCCAAATGCCTCGTCATCTAATTAGTGACGCGCATGAATGGATTAACGAGATTCCCACTGTCCCTATCTACTATCTAGCGAAACCACAGCCAAGGGAACGGGCTTGGAAACATCAGCGGGGAAAGAAGACCCTGTTGAGCTTGACTCTAGTCCGACTTTGTGAAGAGACATGAAGGGTGTAGCATAGGTGGGAGTGCAAACGAAATTGAAATACCACTACTTTTATCGTTTCTTTACTTATTCAGTAAAGCGGAGAGCGGGGCGCAAGCTCCTCGATTCTGGAATTAAGTCACCGGCCTCGCGCCGATGGTGATCCTCTCTGAAGACAGTGTCAGACGGGGAGTTTGACTGGGGCGGTACATCTGTCAAAAGGTAACGCAGGTGTCCTAAGGTGAGCTCAGCGAGGAGGGAAACCTCGCGTGGAGTAAAAGGGCAAAAGTTCTCTTGATTTTCAGTACGAATACAGACCAGTTATAACCAGAGACGTATATATCACATATGTCTCTGTTATAACCTACTTGAGAAATATCTTATGAAATTGCACATGTTTCGTACAAAATGTATATGACGGAGTCTCTAATCTTATAGTAGACTTTTTGTCAAAGGAAATGTCTTATGTACATATATATATATATATATATGACAATTCATGAATTAGTAAAATACATCGTTGCATTTCTCCATGAATAATTATCAACTTCATTTAGTCAGCTACTCCTGTAGTGCAAACACGTGTACTTCTCTTGACGATTTCCTAAGAATTCGTTTTAAAATATTCTGTTTTATTAGAAAAATTCATGAAATGCCTGTTTCGAGGGGAACGTTTAATGAAGGAGCTGGACAAGGTTTAGTAGATCAGAGACGTATATATCACATATGTCATTGAGTAGATGTTAATCCATGGTTTTACATCTCAACCGGAATGATTACACCTTAAATGGACCCCATTGGAAATAAGCCTATTTTATAGGCTTTATGGGTAATCCAAGGCCAAAGGCATTTTCATCTGGTTTTATCAAATTTCTCTCTTTTTTATTGATATTTCCAAAATTTTCAACTATTTTACTTAGAAGATTTGCAAGCACAGTGTGATTTAATTTCTGCGATACTAGTTTAAACTGTGATATTTTAAGGTATGTGAAATTCTTCTGTGATATTTTATATTTTATAATTAATAATTTTAAGAAATCCACATTAATTTATTACTGATTTTAATTGTTATTGAATTGCTTATGTAATGTGATATTTGTAATGTGTAATTTCATTATGTCTTTGCCTGAATAAACATAATAATAATAATAATAGTAATAATAATCTGGTGTTCACTGAGCCGTGAAATCATCGAATCTCTTCTCTCCATATAAATGTCCTAGATATTTACTGCCTGGCTACAATGTACATGATAAGACCCCCGAAGTGAGAAGTGAAACTCGTTTTTATAATAAAATAATATAAATGAAAGTTGATGATTAATCATCAAAATTATATGTGTCGAATGGAATGGAACCTACGGAAATTTTGTCAGCTTTTTATGATACTCTATTACTAGGTTGACACAATAAGAATGTATTTCAATTGTAAACAACGTAAACTTTCGGAGTTACGTGCTGTAATTGCTTTGCTGTTAACTGGCATTACAAAGAGGTGTAGACCGTCCATTTCGATCCATTTAGGCTGTCAAACTATGATAGACTGAAATGAAAGTGTGGGAGATCCGAATGTCCCTGGTTTCCGTAATATCCGACAGACATTTCTTCATCCGTGAGTATAACAATCTATAGAGCGTTGATGGGCGTGAATGAACTATTATACGTCCATGGTTGTTTTACCGCGGACTTAAATTAAAAAGTTCATGGGTTTTCTTCGCCGAAGCTGAGTGCTGGTGTACTACAACTCTAAATCTATTCGCTTCGTAATGGTACAATGTACAATGTGTGATTTTAGTACAACGCAGGAAAATATGGTGCTCAGTGAATAAACACGCCTAATATCTTTTAATCCTGTTCTTTCAGTGTTAAAATTGTCTTAATTAATACCTATTCTAGTTATTGCTTGAAATTTTGGTAATACAATATTTTGCATACATATATTTTCTGTTAGTTACAACGACATCGAACCGTGTCAATGCTATATTACCCGAGCAATAGAATGGTATACACAAATAAGATCGACACCGTACAAAGATGGCTGACGCTAAACATCGTTGGTAGTAAAGAAGAGGAACACTAAGGTTGTTTTCCGTCTACGCTGTAATAGAATGGCGACGTGAGTGAAGGAAATGTCCATATATATCTAGCTCTAAGTGCAGTACATGTTGATGAAATATGAATGAGAAATTCTATGTCTTGAGAAGATGAACAGCATCTGAACTTCAGTGCACCACAAGCACCTGTATCTGGAAACTTGTATGATGCAAAGTGGACCGGATTTCACTGTAGCTGATTACATTCTAGACACAAGTGTATGTGAATGCTTTGACTCAAATCAAACCCCAATCAAGCTGGAATAGGCAGGTCTGCATATTTAGTTCAAAGTCTTGGATCATTTTTAAACATATAATTTAAGTTCTTCACTTGTGAGCAAATTCTTAGGAAAGGTGGTGACCATTCGTAAATAATATGATATTTACATAAAGACCAGACCAATTTAAAAAGCTGAATTAATTTTGTTGCTTTAGTAAATAAGTGTTCCAGGGATAAAGTAGATATGTGTAGGTATTAAAAAAAACAAATTATGAAACGAGTTATTTAACTCCCTTCCTTTATCAGAATGTCAACATGGTATCTGACTTTGATAAGCTCTATAGTGGTAACATTTCGTCTACATAACAGTAATTGATGCAACCTAGAAATATTCTTCTGGAAGTGGGAAAGACATGGAGTAAAGATGCTCTGCACTAACCAAGGCAATTGTTAATAAAAAATGCTATGACAGAATTTTCACATTTCTGAATTTGTTTGACTTTCAATTTTTACCAAACATAAATGTGATTATACACCAATGTAATTGTCATGAATTAAAATTTCTTTATTCCTTCAAGTGCCCAGTGTATAATTCCAACCAATATCTTGATGTCATAACATATACACATGCACACAAAACATCAACGTAACAATAATTGTGCGATCAATCACTGGCTGTAGTGCACGGAATTGTCTTCCTTTCTTGAAGCACTAGCCAAAGCTTTATTCTTTCCAGGCACTGCCTGACTTATATTACTACACACAGAGGTCATGAAATTGCACAGAATTCACTAACTGGTCTCCAAATTGATATGATACTTTTAGATTATTTCTGAAACTTTTGACAAGATCCTCATAGAAGATTTCTCAATAAACTAGATTTGATAATGATCAAAAGAGATTTTGGAAGAGCCATACAAAGTAAGATATCAACATTTCTCTCTCATGGATTGTAATCACAGTAATTCTAAATGGTATTTCCTCATCAACAATTTCTGTTGAGTTCAGTGGCCCTTAGGGAACAAAAAAGACCTCAGCTATTCCATGCAACATTTCTAGGCTTAACTGGTGACCTCGCTGAAATGGTTGAAATACATGTTTGGACTTTGTTGATTTATTTTTTTAATAGGTTTTACATCCACTCTTATGACTCATTCATTGGACAAGTCTCTGTTGGTGATAAGTCACCTATTATATAGAAACAAAAGATCAAATTAAGTGTGATATAATAAATGTCTGGTGGTGGATTCTGGGATCATTCTTGGATCAGTGTTAGTTTTAGTTAGGTGGTACATGATATTCAGGAAAATTGATGAAGAAATATAAATTTTTTGCATCAGTATTTTCATTTTCTGTATTGTAGAACTTTAATTACTCATTTTATTTGTAGGTCTACAAACAATTCTGACCCAGTGCAAGATAAATCTAATGTTAGCATGGTTGCCCTTCCGATAGTGGATGCGGAAAATGTGACCTGGACAAGGTAAGTGTATGTTTTTTTTTGTGAAAATGTATGTCAAATATCAGTTAATATGCTGAAACCCAGTACCAATATTTTCTACAATTTTGTAAGCTGCATGTGAACCTAACTTTGCTGAGACCTTAATTACTGTAAACTAGTTCATATTTCAAGTATTTGATTTTCATGATTTTCACAAATCTTGCAGTCTTTGTTCATTGCTGTGTCGCCTGCAGAGCTGGCAGACACTTAGGGATCATTTGTCCGTCGTCGTTAGTGTCGTTGTCATCCGTACGAAAGCTTTCCAGACTTTTTTCGGTAATGCTTTGAGTTATCAAAATGAAATTTGGCAAATGGCTTTTTGTTGCAAGGGTACAGAGTAAGTTCGATTCCCGACTGTCTGTGACCCTTTTTGGCACAGTTATGCCCCTTTCAACTTAGAAAATTTCCTGGGAATATTGTTTTCCGGACTTTTTTGGCTTATGCTTAGAGTTATCAAAATGAAATTTGGTATATGGCTTCTTGTTGCAAGGGTACAGATTGAGTTTGATTCCCGGCTGTCTGTGACCCTTTTTGGCAGAGTTATGCCCCTTTCAACTTAGAAAATTTCTCAGGAATATTGCTTTGCACAGTTTTCCCTTTATGCTTCAAGTTATAGAAATGAAATTTGGTATTACAACTTTATGGTTGCACATCCAGTTCAATTTCTGGGTGACCAAGACACTTTATGCAGGCGGCACATACAGTTCCGAGGAACTCTTGTATTATATAATTTCCATTTTGTGACCATGAATATTGGCAACCTGTTTCATGCTATGGTACATGAACATTACAGAATATATGACTCAGGAGCTTGTTTGTAAACAAAGGAAGTGATTCCAGAATTTTTGCTTTGAGGTGGTTTGAAAATTTTGATAATTTCAATTTGTTAAAATAATTACAACATGCATTAATCATCAAAAACTGTTAGGAGAACAATATTAAAATCTTTGATATTATTTTTGTGCTAAGGTTACTGGATCAACCTGGAATAACTTTCCAGACCTTCCCTGTCCTTGACCTGAATGGCCAGCCAATCACAGTGAATGTTAACGCCATTGACAGTCATATACAAGCTTCAGCATCGGGATTGACAACATTGGTCCCCAATAATCCTACTATGACACATACTGACAGACCAATTTCAGGTAATGATGGACGTAAGTATCACTGTGAGTTCTTTCTAATTAAGCTGGATACACTTGCAACCAAAATTCAGGATTACAAAGTTTGCTTTGACATTGAGTACATTTCATCAGGGTTGAGAATTCTGATAATTCAGAGAGGAGCCAGTTAGAGATTTCTGTATGTTACAAAATTAAGATGAAAAATTTTATTTATTTTACAACAGGTATAAAACATTTATGCTGTTGTTGCCCAATGATATCATCGGCTCCACTACATACTGTAGGTCTCCAGTTTCTTACCACATTCAAACCTAGGCTGCCGATGTGAAAGTCTGTAATATAGCTAATGTATTACCGAATGCCCTACTTATACCTGATCACCCTGTATGGTACAGAAATCAGATACAATATCTACAGTATGTAGAATAAAACATTACTATAAAATAATGTAATTCAGTTACCAACAGTCCATTATGTTGTTTTTCTTGCTCTCCAGCAATGTATGAATTTCATATCCCCACAATAACCAACAGTCGACTTTGTTGTTCTTCTTGTTTTTACAGCAATGTGTCAGTTTCATAAATCCCACAATCACCATCAGTCAACATTGTATTTTTCTTGCTCTGTAGTAATGTATGAATTTCATAGACCCAAAAATATGCAGAGTGCTATTTCAGTTTCCATTGGTTTCTAAACAATTGCATTTCCTTTCCAAACCAAGTATGTCAGTCTGTGCATTATTTATTTTTTTAGAATTTTTGAAAGGGGATTAGGGGATTTGAGGTGTGCAGGTTTATGCCCTTCCTACAACTATAGACATGTTTTATGAAAGCAGCTTAAGATGCATGACATATTTAATTTTCTCATTGTCAGATGTGATGGTCAGGAATGGAAGTCAAGGTAATAATTTCCTCGCGGCTGGTAACAACGGTAACAATCTATCGTCAGTATTTAGTGAAGGTATGAGCATTGTGTCTTCTCAAGATGGTCTCCCAACAAACTCCAGTATACTGGAGTTAATGGAAGACCCCTATCAGCCTGGAAATGAGACATTTTTAAAAGCTGAGGAAACCAGTATTTCACCCAACGAGAATCAGCTGGTACCAGCTGGTGACTCAACATTGCTGAAAACCAGTACAGAAGAGGTAACTGCCATAGAATGTAGGGGTGTATAAGGTTGAAAAGGGTTAGTTTGAATAGAGGGTATAGTGTAGACACTTATTCTACTTGTGTTTGGAAGGAGTTTAGATATGCTTAAAATTACAAAATAGCACTACACACAGGTACAAGGATTAAACAGATGTGAAAATTCTAATGACACACAAAATAAAAAGTTACTAGTAATATTGTAGAGAGATTACCGTTGGGTGTAAATAGCACTACACACAGGTACAAGGATTAAACAGATGTGAAAATTCTAATGACACACAAAATAAAAAGTTACTAGTAATATTGTAGAGAGATTACCGTTGGGTGTAGACAATTGAAAATTTATCAGACAACAGACAGACGATAATATTCACAGTTGATATGGCTTTGTTGAATGTTAGCAGTGAGAGTTGGTAGAGCATCAAACCCAGTTAAGGTTTGTGGTTCAGTGATCAGCCAGTTTGTCCCTCGGAAAGCTGAGATCACAGATTGTCCTGTGCAGCTATAGGTTTTTGCATGACACTTGAATTAATCTGGTTGTATTGTATGGTATGGAACAGACCTCCTGTCAGTGAGGTAGCTACCAGTTACTTCACAGTGACTCACCTCAAATCGACTCTGGCTGTTAACGGGCGATAAACAATCCAAATGATCATTATTGTAAAATAATTGCTTAATGATATTGTAGATCCCTTGATATGAGGATTATAATTTTCAAAAAAATATTTAGGAAATATAAAATTTTTCTCATTTTGAATTTGTTTCATTTCAGATATTCTCAAACATCCAAGCGTTTCTGTCGGATTCTGTTCTAGAAGCTCTTATCAACACAAAGTCCACTTTTCTAGCTGACCTCCAAAATCTGAACAGTCTTGTCTGGCAGAAAGAGGCCCACACTTGGTGTGTGTCTGGCAAATTATCAGAGCTCATAGGACTCCATAGTAAACTTCTCAAACTACTCAATGGTTAGTATACTAGAAACATCAGTCATTACTTTCATTTAAATTTTGTTCCTGAACTACTTGTGTTATCATAGCAATAATTGCCATTTAAGATAAAAATAATTACATCTTTAACATCATAGAAAAATATCTGTCAAAAAATAGAGCTACATGTACAATGTACCTTTGCTGTTGATGATATTTATTGATTTTCTTTTTCTGTTCAAAGGATATGTTGCTTTTATGAATCAGCTGTTTGATTATTAAATTTATCGACATAGAGATATTTCCATGTGAATTGGTTAATACATTGAAATCTTGGTACTTTTGTAGCAGTAAAAACTGAAAAATAATTTAAAAGATATAAATTCCAGCAACTATTATTTTGTATTGAAAAAAACCCTGGTAATATATGATTATCAATAGAGGCAGAAAGATGAGTGTATTTGATTAAACATGGATAATTGTTATATGTTCTTGTTGAATTGGCACCATTTATCTGTCACATCTTTGTTGTTGTGGAAGGTTTGGTGATATTGTAAGGGAGATAAGTAAGGACATTTTCATTTGAAATAGAGAAGTAAGGAAATTGAAAAATGCTTGAAATGGAAACGAGGTTTAACTGAATGTTGTTCATTGATTTGTGTTTAAATGGACACAGTTTCTAACAGTGCTAACTTTCTGATAATGCTTAATACCCAAAAAGAATTGAAATGGATTTTTGTGTTAATAATAGACACTGGCTGAAATCTCCTTTATTTGTCTTGATTATTGTGAATAAGTGATTTTGATAGCTTTCTTATCTATATTGATGTTCAATCATGATAAAATTGATATAATTTTAAGGTTCAAAGATGATACTAGCATTATGCCATTACTTAAAAAATCAGGACTGTCAAAAGACCAGAGTGAGTATAAATAACTAGTGGAAAAGACACTGGCAAGCAGGAATTCCATCGCAAAACAAAGACATGAAATGGATTTTTAGTGTCAGCAAAACATTGACTGATCCCCTTTTGCATTGGCCTCTATAGGTATTGTAAAGTGTCTGACTGAGTAGCCTGTATAGAAATGATAGGCTTTTCTGTCCTGTTAACACGGTTATTTCTCACTGTAGGGAACAAGAAGGCTGGTAGTGAGGGAGAAGTAGAGACCTGTACAACCACTGACAAATGTATACAAACAGAACCCACAAGTGCCTCTGATTTTTCTGCCATGTGTGACATCCTCGTCCCTACTGTGTCTGCTTTTGGACGTGGAATCAGACAACCTGCCAGGTTCAATCAGTACAGTTTCATGGCAGAGGCTGACGATAATCAGGAGGAAGAACGACCAAAGAAGTCACGGAAAAAGAAAAAGGTATCTTAATAATGAAATGGAGAAATTTCAGTATGATGGGATAGCTAAGTGGTAACACAGTCATCTTTCACCTGGGTAATGAGGGTTACATAAACTTATTGTATATAAAAACGGAATAATGTTTCCTGCCAGACCACATAACTTTCTCCCATGTGCATTAGTACTTAAGATAATCCCATATTAAGGTCCCTCTTTCATAAAGGCCAACAAGTGTGATTAATATAAATCTACCAGTTTTATTTACAGATATTGTATAGAGTCTATGTAAGGATGTAGATAAAGTAAAAAATATCCAGATTTTTCAGCGAAATATTGGAGTGTATTGTAGTTACACTTTTAGTTTTGAATTGCTTTTCAATTTCATTTTTAATTTAGAAATATGAATTTTGTAAACTTTTTTGTTTTCCAGCCAGAAAATGGACCTTTATCTGACAACAAAATGTCCCAGGCTGTGGGTGGTAGAACTAATGATATATCAAAGCCACTGGAAAAGGTCAATTTCTTCTTGTCAAATGCTAAGGAGAACCAACAGCAGGGAATGACTGGCAATGTTGATGCTGTAGAAACAAACAAGCATCTAGGTGGAACAGAATATATGGGGAGTGAAAACCAACAGCCAACAGATGGGGTGGAGGCAGTAAACAAGAACACCAATGAATGTGATGAGAATGATGGTAAGAATTCACATCAGATCAAGTCACGATGATCGAGTAACGATTATATCAGGTTACAAACAAGTAAGATAGGCTAGTTTTCAGTTGATCTCAAGTTCAATCAGTTTTTTATCACTGTCTGCCGTGTTAGTGACGATAAATTTTCAAAATGAATGATCGATAAGTGAAGGAAGAAAAAAAACCCTAACACATTTGTTGCGACCTGAGGGCCATGATAACTCTTCACACTTCTTGAGTTGTTGGATCTCTACCTGAGGTCCTCAGGGAGCTGAGATCACAGATAGACCCATGCTATAATGGTTGTTTCCTTACAAGACATTTGGTACGCATAGCTTGTGATAGACCTCTACATTTTGTTGAGTGAGATAGTCAGTAGCAACTACATGGAGACCCAATTTCCAAGTGACTGTGTTATTACTGTTCACAAATAAACTTGATGCGTGGTTGGCCAGGATGTATTATAGTTTTATGTAAATGAATGACAACAAAAAAGTAGTAGGCAATAGAAATCTCATATGAGACTGATTGTTTATGTGATGGTATATCATTGGTCTGTGTATTATATCATGGTTGTGTGGTGCAGTCCATTATCATTATTTCTTAACTTGTTTATTGGTCCGCCCAAATTATAACACTTCTTGTTCTGATACAGATGAGCCAAGAATACCTAAGAAAAAGACGAGGAAAGATTACGAAAGTTTAGCGCCATTTAAGTATTTCTGCAAGATCTGTTCATTCAAGTCGAAACGAGAAAGTCACTTTGCAAAGCATATGAAACTGCACACAAACAACACTGAACTGTATGAGTGTAAACAATGTGATTTTAAGACAATTCGAAGCAGTACTCTGAAGTGTCATGAGGTGTGTCACAGTAAGTCTCTTTTCCACTGTGAACACTGTAAGTACCGTTCCACCAGCTCCGTCCTCCTACATAAACACATCAAAGGCAAACATTGCCCAGCCTCCGACAAAAGACGTCATACCAGAAATCTTTTGTACCTTCGATGTCAACAATGTTCCTTCAAAACAGTCAAGGTGAGGACCTTACGTTGTAAACATTCATATTTTACCTCAGTATTTTTTAAACTAAAGGTATCGGGCTAAAATATGATTGCACTAATAACATTTTACTTATGGTGTTTACATAGCAAATATTATGCACGCAAAAATTTATTGTCATAGTTATTTGCCAAAAAATGAGAATGTGCTAACATTTTATTGTGCCAAATTAAGTACATTTACAATAATCAATACTGTAGAATGATAACTTTCTCTAATATTAAGAAGTATTATGGAAGTTATTAGAAGCAACATCTACTCTAAAAACTATAAAGGCTATTTTTTCAGTTGTTAAAATATTCATGGTTTACTGTAAAAGTTTTTACTTTCAAGGGATTCCAATTTTCATTATTTTTGAGGAATAAAATATTTGTAAAAATCGAATACATCCTTGTTTCATGACTTTCTTGAAAAATGTACCTTTAGTGCTACTAGCTTTTGGTGTTTCAAAGTATCTAAATTTCATGATTTTATTAATTACTTCCTTTAAAATACAGAAAAATAAATTGTGCATAATCTTAAATCTAAATCTTGTCAGTCTTCTCTGAAATCTACACCTTGTCATGCTGTCAGAAATCTACAACTTGTCAGTCAGTCTCTGAAATTTACAACTTGTTAATCTATCTCTGAAATCCACTCCTTGTCAGTCTTTCTTGAAACCTACTACTTGACATTCTGTCTGAAATCTGCAACTTATCCATCTATCTCTGAAATCTGTGACTTGTCAGTTAATCGCTGAATTCTGCAACTTGTCAGTCCTATATATAGATGTATAAGAAATTTTCTGATGGTTTATAATGGTAAGTATATTAGAAGCGTAATAGTTTAGATATATTATTCCAGTCTATTAAACTATCTAGTGTATATGTAGAAAAATTTGAAAAAAAAATAAAGACCTTTAAAATTTTTTTTAAGGCTCAGAAATTTGCTCAGCATTTAAAAACCCATGGTTCAACAACACTTATGTCTGAGGAGACAGCAAAGCTTCTACAGAAAGTGGAGGAAACATCAGCTGTGGAACTTCAGTGCAAGGATTGTAATTATAAAACCATGCGCAAGGAACATTTGGCACGTCATCGAAATAATGTACACACTGACCTTCGACCTTTTCTTTGTGACCTATGTGGCTGTTCATTCAAGCGTGCAGATACCCTTACAGCTCACAAGGTCACACATATTGACAAGAAGTATCGTCTATATCAGTATAAATGTAAGGAATGTGAAAAAGACTTCAGGTCACGGGTGAGTAAAAAATTTCATCTATATAATTTACTTTCAAGGATTATCATGTGTTCTAGCTTATGGTCATTTCAGTGAGTCAGATTTAGAACTTGTGAATCAACCAAACAGCTTTTATAAAATATAAACAACATAATGTCCTATGATTTAACACATTATGATCAGAATTGTGTAATTAATTTGATTTAATGTGAGAATAATTTTTGGTTTTCTATGAAAAAGGTATTTTTACAGTGTTCATGAAGATGAGTTCAGTTAATGTCCTCTCTTTACTGTTAAAGTCTGAAAGTGATCAATCCATCGATCATTCTAAAATTTTCTAGAAAATGCTTTGATCTTGTTTATTGTAGCACCACTTTTTTGTGTAAACAGCGATGACAAGTTTAACATTTATCTCTTGTAGGCTCATCTTTCAGAACATATGGCGATGCACTCTAGTTTAAGGATGTACTTGTGTGATATTTGTGGTGTTGGCTTCAAACGTAAGTCCTGTCAACAGAAACACATGAAGTCTATTCATCTGAATCCACGTTCCTTCCAGTGTAGAAACTGCAATAAAAGCTTCAACACCAAGTATGCCCTTCTGCGTCATACTCGAACACATGACACGGCAATACCCAATCAAGTACACCCGAATGAACAAGTCTCCCTGCAGCAGATTCAGATCACCCATGCCTTCCAGTGCTCTGAGTGTGAAAAAACATTCCACACAAAATATTTATTGTTAAGACATATGCAGACCCACGATCCAACAATTCAGATACCGGAGGATATGGTAGAAGAGGCGTTACCTCAAATAGAGGCTCAGATCTCTACGTTTGAAACACTGGATGAACAGGCATTAGATACTCAGGGTTTGGACGGTCAGACGCAAGAGCTTACTGTCCAAGACATCATCACAGGAGGTCAAGTACTGGAGGAGTATGATCAGACCAATTTGACCAGCAATGAGACCGCCATAGCTACTATTTATTTGAGCAACCAATTGCCTCTAAATTTATCTCCAGTGTTGTCCGAACAAGGCACATTTAAGTAGGCTGGATACTGTGTTTAAATTTTGGAGAAATAATATGCCTACAGTCTATTTGGTTAAAGATAAATTTACATATTGTATCCTGATTTCTCAAAATGATATTTTAAAAAAATGTTCAGCTCTTCATGGCAGAAAATTTAATAAATTTTGGGCAACTGAACCGAAGTGCAAAAAAATCCGAACCTCTTACTACATAAGTGTCATTTTGTGGCAAGTAAGTGTACTTTGCTGGTCTTATTTCACAAGTAAGTGTACTGGTCTTATTTCACAAGTAAGTGCACTGGTCTTATTTCACAAGTAAGTGTACTTTGCTGGTCTTATTTCACAAGTAAGTGCACTGGTCTTATTTCACAAGTAAGTGTACTGGTCTTATTTCACAAGTAAGTGTACTTTGCTGGTCTTATTTCACAAGTAAGTGTACTTTGCTGGTCTTATTTCACAAGTAAGTGTACTGGTCATATTTCACAAGTAAGTGTACTGGTCTTAATTCACAAGTAAGTGTACTGGTCTTATTTCACAACTAAGTGTACTTTACTGGTCTTATTTCACAAGTAAGTGCACTGGTCTTATTTCACAAGTAAGTGTACTGGTCTTATTTCACAAGTAAGTGTACTGGTCTTATTTCACAAGTAAGTGTACTGGTCTTATTTCACAAGTAAGTGCACTGGTCTTATTTCACAAATAAGTGTACTGGTCTTATTTCACAAGTAAGTGTACTGGTCTTATTCCACAAGTAAGTGTACTTTGCTGGTCTTATTTCACAAGTAAGTGTACTTTACTGGTCTTATTTCACAAGTAAGTGTACTTTACTGGTCTTATTTCACAAGTAAGTGCACTGGTCTTATTTCACAAGTAAGTGCACTGGTCTTATTTCACAAGTAAGTGCACTGGTCTTATTTCACAAGTAAGTGTACTTTGCTGGTCTTATTTCACAAGTAAGTGTACTGGTCTTATTTCACAAGTAAGTGTACTGGTCTTATTTCACAAGTAAGTGTACTTTACTGGTCTTATTTCACAAGTAAGTGTACTGGTCTTATTTCACAAGTAAGTGCACTGGTCTTATTTCACAAGTAAGTGCACTGGTCTTATTTCACAAGTAAGTGCACTAGTCTTATTTCACAAGTAAGTGTACTGGTCTTATTTCACAAGTAAGTGCACTGGTCTTATTTCACAAGTAAGTGTATTGGTCTTATTTCACAAGTAAGTGCACTGGTCTTATTTAACAAGTAAGTGTACTGGTCTTATTTCACAAGTAAGTGCACTGGTCTTATTTCACAAGTAAGTGCACTGGTCTTATTTCACAAGTAAGTGTAATGTCATATACAACAAATTTTCATTTGGTGACAATAACCATGTACATTGTATTTGGATTGGAAGCGTATATTACTATTTCACATAATTTTCTAGATACCTTATAATAATACAGAAGAGAGTTTAAGGTTATGTTGATTTGCTTCCTACCTCAGTTGTGTGTTGTATGTTATACATGTAACACACAGTCACTAAAATTTAGCTTGTGAGCACATCTTTCAATAGCAGAGTGTAGTTAATTGTTTATCAAAAGTTGATCTCTGATCTTCATCTCACTGCCTAGTGTTACACTCCTTTGTTAGTTTTTATTCTCAGTTAAGGGTATGGTGCCATATTCCCCAGTATAAGCCCATATATGGTATTAAGCCCATTTATGGTAATAAGCCCATATATGGTAATAAGCCCATTTATGGTAATAAGCCCATATATGGTAATAAGCCCATATATGGTATTAAGCAAGCCTGTATGAATTGATATACAATGTAATTAAAAGCACAAATATGATTCCCTTATCTTGCAATAAGCCCAACCCTCCTGAATTTTGAGTGAGATTTGGTATATGGTATCCCTTGGATTTTTAAGCACACACACAGTGCTATACTGACCACCCTAGGCTTAATGTTTTGTTTATCATATATTACAACAGCAGTTGAATTATTTGAGAAAACATTATCGTATTTCACGTCTGTATTTATTGTTTTCAATAATTAAGTATATTCTTCAGCTTTCTGAATTGTGTTTGCCAGCTAGGCTGATTAAATTATCTATTTATATTCAGTGTAAAGCCAGTTGTATTGTTATGATAATATTTCTTTGGATAGTCTTATCTGCCTTTTAGAGATCCAATTTACATAATAAAAAATCTGTCTTCAGTTGATTCTTTTAATTTTATTGACTATTACGTGATAAATAATTTCATACAATTCTCAGTCACACTTGTCCAATTTTGTCTCATTCGTCCCATTTTACCTTCACTATGGAAACGTGTATCCTGGTCAAATTTCAACGTTACTGTGGAAACTTGTATGCTGTCCAAGTTCAACGTTCCAAGGGAACCATGACAATCGTTGGTGGGACTCTAATGGATGTGTTTGTCCAAGATACAATTATATAAGTGACTTACGACAGTCATACCAGCGAAAACCACAACTGAATGCAAAGTATAGTTGTAAAGGGTATAGCACAATGCTACAGCTGATGTACCTAACAGTTCTAGTTCGCTATACATACAGTGTAACACTTCTAACGAAGTGAGCATAAAAACAAGAAATTAAACCAGTTGGAAAAATTTATTTTTGTAAACTGTTGACATCAATATGTACACATATACGCTTTTAGTCCAAATTATTCTGGTGTTCTTCCAATTCTTTTCGCCGATAAAAGAAGTAGCTAGAACATCAGAATAATTGGGACTAAGGTGCTAAATATGGTCACTTTACCATCGAGTTATGTAACTATTATACACACATGATCAGGAAACATACTGACAATAATGAAACGTTCAACCAGTATTTCTCGTACGCTGCAGGCCGGTGAATGAAACATGGCGAATTAAGTTAGTATAGAAAGTAACAAACCACCAACCGATAGACACCATGTAATGTACAACAAAAATATAGGTTTACTGAAGGACTATAGGTACACATAGTAACATAAAGCCAGACTACAATCTCAAAAACACACTCAGAATTTGTTTACCAAAATACAAGAACTTCATAAGCACTTTCCCGGGTAGTAAAATCATAAATTTTCATGAAGCTTAATTTTCGTGGTTTTTCAAAAAAAAATTAAATTCTATTTCTAAGACGCTTGATTTCGTGGATAAATATAGCTCAATTATTCAATTTATAATTATTCAACAGTTCATGGACATATGGATTTGTGGATTAGCAGTATCCGCGAAATCAACGAAAATAAATCACTAACGTAAATGTTTGTTTCTGCAGTATATTATTTCTATACATAATATTACATATGATATATGATATTCAATTTGATTAACACTACCATGGCTCATTGTATCCAGTAAAAATTTGATATATCCTGTTTTCATGCTGGTAAAGAACGACAATTAACATTCACACATAAATTCGAACAGTATTAGTTTATCGAAATAAAATCGGAGGGTACTCCATCAGGATCGGACAGCTTATATCTTAAAGACCCTGATCAAGAATTCTATAAAATTTGCAATATTTGTTGGAAATTCCGACTATCGAAACGTCAAGTTTTGTTGTACAATTTTTGTTTAGCTGACGTTGACGTTACGCTGAATTATGAAGATGTACTACAAAATTATTATTCTATGCGAAAAAAATGTTCCAAACTTCAGCAATAGTATTTTACTTATTTAGTAATAACAATTTAAAGAATGTTTGTAAATTACTGTTCAATACAATAAATGAAATCTAAATAGTTATCTATGTCTTGTAATATTGAATTCAATTCTGTCGAATTGGTGCACGTGTTAAAAAGCAGCCTTTTTCTGTCACTGCCGGATACAGCAAAAATATATATGTGGCAGGTGTATTCCCGACAATGGCAGTGTCAGGTACAGGGTATATAACACATTGAAACTCATCCATGTGAGACGTCTAGATATAGAATATGATAGGTTTGTAAAACGGAGATCTCGCTTCTGATATCATTAGGATTTCCTTTCTACGGTGGTACATTTAGGACATACACAATGCTATTTTCTATATTAATTATATTGAGTGCTCGATATATTATTTTTAGCGCTTGATTTATTGTGTCGACCACTCGACATGGACTTTACTGATGAGCGGCTTCATATATCATAGTGACGGCCAAGACTATGGGCGACCTTCTTGACAGGGATGAAATCATACGTCTTTTTCATCTACAATACATTAAGCGACAGCCTTGCTCTATCACTGAAGAATATCGACAAAGCTTTAGTTGACGAAGAATTCTTCTAATATGACAAATTTATATCGTAAATTCAAATTGTGACAACAAAACAGTCACAGTTTCTCTTTGCTTCAGCCAAACTCCTAGTAAATACGTATGATTGTTCATAGTCTTTACTATCAGTATAATATAACTATACTATTATAAAGCGGTTTAGTAAAATCCAAATCGAGCGCTCGATGTAATATGTCGAGGATTCGAGATAAGAGTGCTCGAGACAATAAGTCGAGCGTTCAAAATAGATAATATAAAAAGATGTTTTTTTGTTTATCCTAAATTTACCACAGTACGTTTTAACCTTAAGTGATTTTATTAATAATCCACAGCGTAAACAGTAATATGAAGTAACTTCAATTGCTGAAGGTAAAACGTGAAATCTCAGTCTTGAATATTTGAAAAGAGGCTTTGATATGGAAACATTGGAAAGGATACACAAAATATGCAACGTCTCTGACGGAACATAACAATTTAGTTTAAACTATGTATAACATCCGATGTACAAAATACACCAATGGCTCAATACAGATACATGTTTACTGCGTCATCGAAATGGCATGAGAGTGCTCCTTGGCTCGGAGTCTAAGCTGGGCGAGACTGGACGCTCTCATCTCACCATTGTTGGCCGACATGTTGTATTGATAGGCATCACAGGACGCTAGAGAGTTTCCTGTTTTCAATATAAAAAGGACAAGTTATTGGGCTCTCTGTTAATAGTAATGTGTATGATTTCAATTAATTCTTCTCATATTTGATTAGATACAAAATTCTTAGAGACACTATCATAAATATTATTTATCTTTTAGAACTTGAGACTTCCATTGCAAACTATGTAATATATACATGATTCATGAGAGTACACACACACACACATATATATATAGAGAGAGAATCAAACAATTGACATGGCAAATAAATTCTCTAACGTTTTCATTTATTTGCTATGTTAAATGTTTGATTTTCTATATATACGATACTATCTATATATAGATTATTAGATTAGTAGATGTTATACATAAATTGCTTATACAATGCTTAATTTACCAACCAATCTCCAAAGAAAAGAGTAATACAACACAATGTTGATAAGAAATTATGTATGTTATGAATATATTTGATGAAACACCCATGACATTACATAGCACTTTGAGACAATATTCTTTTATAAAAGATCAGATAGTCGAAAAAATACCTGCATTTGGACTTTGACGCCTGTCATATCGGAATCCACCGGCGATGTATGGTGCCATCTGATTGGACAGTGCGTTCCCAAAGGACTTCTGCCAGTCGTTCAGGTTGCTATGGAAATACATTCCAGATAGAGGCATGGTTGAGAGTGGAGCGACGTTTGGTAAGGACGGATTGGTTCCTGTCGACATAGAGGATGGACGATTGGTCCGTCGGAAAGTTCCCAAGCCTGGAAAATATTATCACGTGATGGCGATTATTGAAATAACGTTCGTGCATCCTCTTCAAACACCAAAATCTTCGACAAATGTAGGAGACATGCATATATGATGGAATTGGTCGGCTTTTACAGAAGCATATTCCGGTCACATTTCTTTAAAGTCACAAAAAATCGAGGTGGAAACTCGAAACTTTGAAATAGCCGAAATTTTGAGATAGTCAAATTCTCGAGAGAGTAAAGCAAAATTTCGAAATAGAAAGTCGAAATTTCGAGATAAAAACAAATATATATATGCATTACATCTCAAATTTATACTATTTGTACTATCTCGAAATGTCGGGTGAAGAAAACCTTGCGTGACCGAAATAAGCTTACATAGATTTTCCCCAGTCGTTCTTTTTTATTGTCTCTGTGACGCGTTGGTTTAGTTCGACTAAAATGTTACTACTATAGTTTACAAGTAATAGCCCTATTAAGACCTTATATAAGTAAATAAAGTGGTGGTCGACTCCCCAGTTTCACACGGAAAGACATCAATCACCAGTCCTATTATTGCTGCTTTCCCGGATACTCTTTCTTCCATTGTGAAAATTGTGGTACAGAATTTCGATACAATAATTCTAGTAATTCATAGAGAGTACACTTACTAATATTTGGGAAGCGAATAAAACCAAATACACTTTTTCATCACACTCGGCATAACTAGATATGTGTTGATGAAATAACGACACCACATTTCTGTTGTTCACTGTATGTGTGGATGTTGTTTTCTTGCTACTGTAAAGTCACTAATTTTCGTGAGGGATTTATTTTCGTTGAGTTAATATGTCTGTGAAATGCTGAAAAGATAAACGTTGTACTTACGGTTTTGTGAGCAAGATTTCACCAAAACTTAAGTGTTAACAGAAATATATATTTTTGGATTAGTAGAAAATTTGAGTCCAACAGAAATGTATGATTTTACAATAAATAAAGACATTTACCGGGAGAAAGTTGATCTTTGTCAGCCATCCGCTGATGCTTTCTCCATTTTGCTCGCCGATTTTGGAACCACACCTGTTGTAATAAAATTTGAAGTAAAATTTCATTTTACATTTTAAATAAATAAATTTAAAATAATAAGTTATATCTAGTCATGTATACAGTAGTTTATGATTTTGGTTTCATGAAAAATACAGCCAAATGTTGCTTCACAAGTAAAATACTTCCAAAGGAATTTAAAACAATTTGAAACAAAATATCACTATAAAAGACACTACGACTTTATGTGTAAAATAGAATGAAAAAAACTAAACTGATGTTTAAAAAATAAACAAAAAAGAAACGAATGAATAAAAAAAATACAAAAATAGCAGAGAGTAAAAATGTTTGGTATTTTGTATTATATCAATATATATATGTACACCAAACACAATGTAGATGCTAAATAAACAATCAAATAGATAAATAAT